AAAACAAACAAACAAAACAAAAACAACTACCACACACACCTAATTAATACACTAAAGTCCTCCCCGGCAAATGCAACAACACATACACTACAACCACCCAAGACAATGAATACAAAATAATCTACAGAGAAGAACCTGATCATAACCAAGAATACCAATCCAAAAACTCCACTCTCTGAAAAGGTTATGACTAGCCAAAACCTTCACTGCACACTATCACCTTCAATCAACACTCAGTAGCCCCAACCCACAAGTTACCGACCTCAAATACAAGAAGAACCGACCATCCATCCCAACACAGAAGAAGAACCGACCGCAACTCGACAAGGGTCGATACTAGAGACACAGGTCAACCATATCTAGATATTAAAAAAATTGAGAAGTTGCTTACATGATAAGACGTATTACAAATTCGATCTCCAAAGTTGCAAAATTGGGATTTTAATTTATATTATTGTAATTTTAATCTTAAATATACGACTTCATATGAGTTTCGACTTCTTATGAGTTTACTTTGTGTGGTGCATGTAATATCTCAATTTTACAACATATTGTTGCATTTTTTGTAAAATTGTTCTTTTTTACCTTGGTTTGTTTTCAATTTTTTCAAGGACATGTCTCGGATTCGGGTCAGGCCCAGCCCGGTCATACATTGGTACAAGCTGGTTCAAGTAAACATGACCAAAATCCAGGTCGGATCATCGTGGGGCTTGAAAACAATGACTCGGACCCGACACCTACCTATACTCGTGTTGGGTCAATGGCCCAATTGACCACCGGGTCCGTGTCCGGAACGGATCGTGTCCGGTCTGGGTCCGTCATTTTCTTAGAAAAAACAATAGAAAAATATAAAATAAAATAAAAAAACGAGTTCCGGTCATGAAATGGATGACTCTGACACGACCTTTTAAAAATCCGGTCCAATCCCAAATTCGTGATCAACGAGTTTGACCGGGCCGGGTCCGTGCCAGGTTGGCGGGCCGGGCCGCCCTTGGCCATGTCTAAGTTCTAAGGTCAGTTATGTTGAACCCGCAACCCGCCGAATCGGCTCGGCCCGGAATTTGGATAATATCTAATTTGAAGTTGTAAATCATTGACAGAGTGACGCGCTCAAGGTGCGCGTGGGATCCTTTCCGTTGATTTCGAAGTCGGGAATTTTCGCATTTCCTCTCAACAATATGCTCCTGAAGAAAAATCAACTCAGCTCTGTACACTCAGTTGGTTTATGGTGACGGCCTATTCTTAAATTCTATGTACGCATAGTCATGCAATCTCAATCTTCATCTGCCACAAACAGCAAAAATTTCAATCGGGTCAGGTTTATCGGTCATATCTCTTCCAGTTTACGCCTCCCAACATCGCGCATTTGGTTCGATTGCCGGAAAATCAGTAGCTGCCCTTGTCTTGCGATCGATCGGACGGTAAATTGAGCTTCTATTTCGTAATCTTTGTGTAATTGTGCCCACAATATTTCTTTGTTCTTGCATTATAGACAACTTTTTATTTGATTTGATTTTTTTTTTTGGTTGGGACAGTTGTTTGAATCACGGGTTCGTAGATATGGGTTTCGCTTTCGAGTGCGTGCTGTGGACGATGTAAGCCATTAATTCGATTTGTATAATTAAAAAAAAAAAAAAGAAAGCCTTTTTGGTTTCATTGAGAAAATTAGGCAGAATTTCTTCACATGTGGAGGTAAAGGATATCATTGCCTGTTAGCTGATTAGTTTTATGTCCATTTTACTTCAAAACAAATGGGTTTTGTTTTGTGTGCAGGATTCATTCTCGTTCGATGACTGGGGGGACAACGGTAGAGCCGTTGAGTACATGTATTCATTCAGTGATGGAGAAGGCAGTGATGGAGAAATTATTCTGCAGCCAATAACTGATGTTGATTTGCCGACCTCCAAAGAGCAATTTCTGTCGGACGATGACTCCATAACAGAGACCGTGCACCGTAATGCAACACTTGGCAGAACACGGGCGAAAAGGAAGTACATTTGTATATATATGTGCAATTTATGCTTATATGGGCTTAGTTCGCACGGTCGTTTATCTTGTGTCTGGATATGATTCCCATATCTTGATTGTCTCTAGTAGAAATGAAGGGAAAAAATAATTCTAAGTCTAAATAGCTCAGTATTTCCCTTTTTTTTTTTTTGTGTTTTCAGGACTGTAAGTGGAATTCTGAACAATGTTGGATTAATGTCTTTCTCAACATTGCTTCTTTTACTAGTGGACCAATGTGCATGGAGGCTTGTGCGGTTGCCCTTAGCACCTTTCTATTTGATGCGTCCCTTTATAATATCCGTGATTTCAGTTTCTTGTTTCGGGTACATCTGTGTCCCTTTGTTCCATATGTTGAAGATAAGGTCTATGGGTGGACTCTATTTTGTGCCTATCGGGCTACTAGTTGCACAATTTGTACTAACTTTCTCCTCCAGTGAAGTTTCGGGAGTGACAGCAGCAACTGTAGCATTTGCTGTAATTGGTTTAATGGATGATTACTTGGGAATCAAGAATGAGAATAACGGTCCGAGTGTTTGGGCAAGAGTTATATTGGAGGTGGAGCTCATTTTCAATTTCAACAGATACACACATTTATTATATATGGTTTTTATTGTTGCTTTAACTCATGATTTTCTAGTTGCTCAGGTAGCTGTTGGGACGTGTTTCTCCTATTGGTTGTCCAGAACGGACGTGTCAACACCCTACAACATGTATATCTTCGAGAAACTAATTTGATCAACATTTACTTTGAAGGGTGGCTCACCCATATATTCTTGTTTGGATAATCAATTGGTTTACAATTGTGGTTTCGGAAAGTTCCTTCTATTTTTGAAAATTTATAGATCTGTCGACTTAATGAGATTATCTGCATGAAGTAACGGATAAAGCTTGTATGAATTGCTAATGATAAATGTGGTGCATGAGTTGGATGTTGTTCTGAAGCTGCCCAGTTTATTTGAGTCTTTTTTACTTTCGTGTCATGACTTGATTATGATGACAAGTGCTTGATTTCGGCCTCTTTAGTGGTTTTATTCTGAAGTCGGCCAAATTGTCTATCTAGTAATTAAATGTTTGTTAGAAAAAAATTGCTATATCGTTTAAACAAGCTCCATATGTTGCGCATTAGGTTGTATGACTTCTTATATTGTTTGTGCCAGGAAAATGGTGGTCCCATTCCCTGCGCCTTTGGGCCTTCTTTGCCTTGGAAAATTCTACCCGCTCTTGACTGTACTCTGTTTTGTTTCCATGGCAAATGGTATGAATATAACCAATAGGCTTGATGGATTGGCTGCAGGCATTGCTGCATTAGCATTTATTGGGATGTCCATTGTGGTTCTTCCAATATGCTCTGGTACTATAATTTTTCTTTTTTT